CACCAAACTGCAGAAATACGAGAAGCCAGAAAGAACAACAACTGAGACCTCTGGAAAAAAAAAATTAAATGTAGAAAGGCAAAAATATTCTGGAAAACACGAAAACGTACATTAAGCTGTCAGTATTTCAGTGTGGATTTGCAAGAGTAGTAACGTGAAACCTCTTTATTATGTTACAATAATGATTATTATCTTGCCTCCAGGATTTTCTGGTTTTGTTTTTTGTGTTGTTTCCAAGTCTTCCAAACCATGCAGGTTTCTCACACGTTTTAGCAATAACTGAATCAGCAAGATTTAAGAGAGCTTTAGACCAAAGGCCAGCTACTAAACTGGCCATGCAACCAGAGTCCATCAGACCCTCAAGATCACCTCCTGCCCTCAAAAGCCAACGACCTAGTGCAATAGCTAAGGTGAACCTGTCTTGCAACACAGAGAAGAATGGGAAGCTTTGCTAGAAGAGGGACAGATGTTTTCTTGACAAACCATTAATATGAGTAAGTCCTGCTGCTGCCACATTACAAGGGATCAACCAGAGATCTCGATTACTGGGATCTGTTAAAAAGCAGCCTTAATCCAGGTAAAGCTGCTGCACAGCTTCCTTAAAGTCTTTATGTAAGTAGACAAATAACCTAGCAAGAAGTTGACACTTTAGCCAGAAAAAAAGAAATATCTTCTGTCAGCAGCACTAGGAAACAAAAAATGACTCTGCCATTAGAGCTGTGAAAGCATGAGAGTAGCTGTTTCCACTATGCAGAAGCAGAGCTGGTGGTAAAACAATTATTTGGATTGTGATTTTGATAAATCTCCTCTCAACCGCAGTTGTACAAAAGTAACTGGGATGTGCAGCAGCTCCAACTTCAGTACCTCCAGCCATGAAGGAGCAAGCTGGAGGCCTCAGATGAGAAAGGGCTTCCTAATGCCTTCCTGAGATCAAAATAATGAGTTCCAAACTGAAAATGATTCTTAAACCCCGGTTCTGAGATATGACCACATACAGCGCGAAGCAAAAGGGTAAAACCCTAGAAATTACTAACCTGCACTTTGGATTAACCACAATGTATGACCTCCCAAAACCAAATCATCCCCCCCACACACACCTCTTTTATACCATCTCCAAGCTGAAAAAATGGGACTGATACTAATCTTCCTAAAGACATTTCCTTAATGGTAACAACAATTAACGAGGCAGAAACAAAACAACACTTCAGGAAAATAGATTGCAAAAAAAAGAAGAAAAAAAAAGAAGTCACAGCTCAATAGTAGTCCTTCCTAACAGATGCTTCAGGGGAGTGATGGGAACACCCCCCCCCCATGTACACACACGCTGTCTCATAAAACACTAAAAATACAGTATTTTAGCTTGGGGTAGAGAAGGAAGATCTCTGTTGTTCTTCATCTTAGATAACGTCTGGATCAAGACTCAAAGCGTTATCGCTTTCATACATATATATAACCATCTACTTGTATACATACACGTGCTTTCAGGCACAGGTATCTAGGTATGTGCATGGGTGGAAATACCTGCACACAGACTTTGACCCCATACAGTGTAATCTTATTCCCATATGCTACAACTCCTATGAAGAAATCCATACAGGAAAAGAACATGAGCAGCATTTCCCTCGCACCACCTCTATGATACACAAAAGAAGCGAGCACAAGCGTTATTGCTGAGTGTTTCCCTTCGGGGCACCAAATCCCATCCCCCAGACAAACAGAATACCCAAGATTGCACGAGGGCAGGACTATGGCTAATGTGCCGGTCAACAAAATACCAATCGGTTATGAGCCGCGAGCCACAAAAGTTCAGGAAAAGGATAATTAGAAAAGCACTCACATCCTTAGAGCAGCACGTTTCTGTACCACCTCTTAATGAGTATCAAAGTGGACAGCAATTTTTTAAAGACGTAGGCATGTACTTGTTTGCACCGATCTGTGGTGGCTAGTCATAACTACTGGAAGGTGGGAAAGGATTTACATATTGTACCAAATGCTGTCATCTGGAAGTGCTTATTCAAAACCAGTCAGCTCCCATACAAATACACTGGCTCCAAACGCAAGACAAAAAAATAGGCATCAACTTTTCTCAGTGTCACTGTTCTCTGCAAATATAAAAAGAACTTCTCTTAAAAAGACACAAATACTCAGGAAAGCCAAGAGAGCTATCAGAGGGCTTCCTTGGTCTTACGTTATTGCTTCTGATACTATTAAAGGAAAATATTATTTGTCCGTCTGAAAAGGTTGCCCCAAAACAGCCAGAGACTTTATTTCCAAAGTACCAAATGTCATACTATTGGAAAACTTCCACTAAGGACTACTGAGATTTTTATCACAGCTTTGTCTTATTATGTTACATGTATTGTATTGTGAATACTGTAGTGGAAACAGAAGAAATACGTTAACTCTCTGACAGCAGAGAATAACTAAGTTGCTTCCCTTTGCCCCCAAGGAGGCAAAAAATGGTATTATTTTCCCTATGAGACTGTTCAAGATATAATGGGCAAGAGAAAGAAATACTTAGTGAAAATGGCTTAATAAATCCCAGCAGAAACAAAACATTTTTTCACATACTTAACTGTCTGCACGGCTCCATGCTGACATTTGACGAATGGACAGCATAAAATGTTTTGCACCTCCTGTGCCTTCTATGGATGGCACAAAACCCTGGCTGGCACAGATGCTAGATGAGTATTACACTTAAAACATGCTCCCTTCAAGTGCTATTGGATTTGCATAGCAAATCACGATCTAAAATATTACGGAGTTCAGTTTATTTGAAGATAAACACACTAGCAAGATTTAAAATCAAAACAAAGTAAGCTTTTCACTGTCTTATTTTGTTTTTAAGACACCTTGATTACTTGTAAATGCAGAAAAGATAGCAGGAGTAAAGGACTAGCTGAAGTCTGGGAAGCAGTAAGGCAATTCATTTTACTGACCAGAGTCTAGCACGATCCCAGCTCACTTCACCATGAGCTGGTTTTATGACAGCAACTCATTACTCAAGAGACTTTGTATAAGTTAATGCAAGTAGTAAGCAAGTTCCTGGTACCTTGGGAGCTTTCCTTGGTTTTACAAAAGGATAAAGGAAACAAAAAATCCACTCTCTTCCACTGCTAATCCTTCTTTCAAAAATACAAGAAAACTGATAGAATGGTATTGTTCCACACCTCCCACACTGAAAGCCATACAACAGATTATCTCTGACTGTATTCAAAATGTGTCTTTCTAAAATGATGAATAATCCTTAAAGTCTTAGATTGATGATTACTGACCCAGGGGCACAGCTCTACAAGTACTGGACTAGACACTCAAATTAAATGTGTTCTCTATTAACAAAAAGGTACATTAGATTAAAATAATCTCAGCAAGATATCAGTAACACTTCTCAAGTCATAATGTCAGAAAAAACCAGCATAAAATCAAAGTTTGAATAGAAACATTTTCTAAAAACATATTCAAGCAAAACCAAAACCTTATTAACATGAAGCTTTTGTTCTGAGACCTGTGGTTTATGTCGGAGCAAATGTATATGACCAACACAATTTTGTTGCAGTTGGAATTCAAAAAAATGGGAGCTACTTTTGAAAAGAAAATGCAACATCAGGCTAAAGCTGATAGTCTGACCCTGGGAAGGAACAGCTCAGCTTATCGTTTGTGTTTTAGAAGGCTGACACGTCAATGGCAGCACTACGACGCTGCTGTGGAGGACAAGCAGTTTGTGGCTCTGCATGATACTCAAGTCAAATTTTTGCTTGATATATGAAAACGTGAATTAGAGCTGCCGATGCTGTACGTGCTGTGAAACACACCAAGATCACCATGAAATACTATCAGAGGACTGAAGCTTTGCCTGTCAGTCACTTAACTTGCTGATCCCAACCTGTCAGCTGTCACACTCTGCTGTAAGAAGCTGTCCATGAAAATCTACCATAGCTTCCATTATCCCCAGTGTTTTAGCACAAGATAATAAAATATGTATTAGGGCAGAACAGTAACAAAATCACGCCCAACTGCTCTTCTGCTCTCATACAAACATGAGAGTAACACTGGATATCTCTAATTGCCTTGCAACACTCAGCTTTTTTTATTATTATTTTCTAGTACACCAGGGTGACATGAGTTAAATATACTTAGATTTGTCGTTAAAATTATTAGTTTGTTTTATTTCTTTCTTTATCATAAACAGTATCTTTGCATTAAAGAAAACTCTAAACTTATTACCTTTTTCTGGTCATTTTGACAGCAGTTCCACTTCTACAGAATAACTTTTCACCATACATTTATTAAGTACTTCATTGTTCATGGTAACCCCCTATTTTAAATACACACAAGGCTCTTGAGTGATTTTGACAGGCTCGTGACTCAATCTTCTCACCACGGGTTGAAATAATGACACCAAAGGGAAAATTTCACCACCTGGAACTCAGCTGACACTGAAGGAACAAATCCAAAATTCCTCTGGTATTATAAAGGGACCAGTAACATATCAGCTTCCCTTCTGCTTCTGACCATCTCATCCTATTCTCAAGTAAATGCTGGTTTATTTTAAACAAATGTAGGAAAGAAGGGAACAATATGAAAGCAAAATATACAGAAGAGAAAGAACCCATGATAAAAACCCAAAACCCCAAAACAAATAAACTAAATTTCTACCTGGCATTTTGTCAAACACACAAAGTTTTACTAGGGAAGCACTAATGAAAGAGCCAGTCTTGCTGCTATCCAAGTGAACTGAGGATTGTCATACAGTATCCACAGCGCATATAATCATGTATGATGTCACTTTTAGGGAGAAAAAGAGCTCTTCTAATGAGGAGATTAAGCTAAATGAATGCAGGGATTAAAAAAAGAAAAGGTTAAAATGAAGTACAAGCGCTCTTACTAGAGCACAATTCCATTCCAAGCATTGTGCGTTGAGGAAGCAGCAAGCAGCAGCACCGGCGACAGCGGGGCGCCGCGCCGAGCAGCTCACCATGCAGCCAAGCGTTCGTACTGACCTGCCCCAGCATGTCTGGCGCGATGGGAAACGTGGGCCAGATGGCCGAGTAGACACCGAAGAACACCAGCCAGAGCAGCATGCTTCCCCAGACGGCCAGGTGACTGAACTGTCAAGGAGCAGGTAAAGAAGGAGAGTCAACACAGGGCACTGCCTCCCCCCACCTAATCTATAGCTAGTTCTCTCTTCAGGTCTGTGTCAGTCTCACTCAGGCACTTGGTTTCAGGCCAGTAGCACAGGTTGTTTAAACAGCATAAACCAGTTCTCCTCTTTAATCTTTGCCTCACGACAGGGCAGACAGATAGTCTTCTCAGCCAATCTGTCTTACTTGGAGCTCCAAAAACTCATCAGATTTTCCTTGGAACTCTGATTTCTCTCATCTAGCTCCTGCTTCCCGTTGTGCGGGTGCCAGATTCAACACGTACATCAAGGTGGACATTTTCAAAGGCTCAGGTTAAAGTTCACCTGGACAAATCCCTTATGGCAGAGCGTATGCATACGAGCCACGTGCACCACCCGCACACCTTTCACAGAGGAAGATTCAGTGCTGTGTAATACACTACCACAATCAACATCTACCGATCAGCTTTTTTCTTCTTTGTTTTAAAGGTTTCTTAAGTGATTTACAGATATGCATGCAATTCACATCTTTACAGGTTCTTTAGTCTGTAGACTCACTAAGAGTAAATAAAAGTAGTATTGAAGTGATTAAGCACATGTCCAGCACAAACTTCGTTTCAGTTTCATTAAAGAAAGTCATTTTTCCTTACACACCCAAACTATTTTGCTTTTCAGGATGATTTAAGCTGTTTTACTTTTACACTGCAGTGGATGGAATCAGTAATTTCAGTTGTAACAAGCAATTGAGCTCATTATTGGCTCCAGCTTTTTTGGATGCCAACAACTCCTGCAGCTGATGACTTTGGCTCCAATTCAGAGAAGTACCTGCATAAATCTTAATTACTAATTACATATGGGTTTAGGAACATGGGAATGAATTCATATACCGGTTCCTGTGGTGGACACAGTGTGTTCGTTTAGTTCTCAGCTTTATACCTTCTATTTGATGACTTTTTGAACAGTATGTCTGAGAACCAAAGAAGGGTCTGAGTATCGCATTCTGTGAGATAGACACAAACCTCTGGAAGGAGAAGATTGCTCCTCCTCTGGAGGCACTGAGCATCCTCGGAAAGGAGAGCTTTCTCCAGCACAGGCAGTGAAAACAGACAAGCAAGGAGTCTGCAGCACCAGTGCACAGTGGCAGATAGCTGGGAGCAACTGGAGGCTGCCTTACAGTAGAGGCATTCACAGGGCAAAACGTCAGAGGCAATAGAAAGAACACTCTTCTAGGCACTCTCAGAAAGCTGGATTTTTGTTCGACCCTAAAAGTCGCTGGGCTAATGAGCAGGACGGGATAGGCCCCTTCCTGGAGAGACACAGTAAGCAGGAAGATTTGTTTATAAATTTCACTATTTACTCTGTTTCACTCAGGAGAACCACAACACATTTTTTGATTCAGTTTTAATGTGAATAAAACTAAGAGACTGGAAAGAATATTTTTTTTTTAAACACTTGGAGGAAGGTGGGAATTTTATCCTTTCAGTCTAATTGCTTTTCTGAAAACTAGGGACAACTGTCATCAAGAATCTGACTGAAATAAAGCCCTGCCACAGTGAGCAACTGTAGTGCTTAGCTCCCCAAAGAACAAGTACTGCAAGGCTGCTGCAAGAACTCAACTTAAAGAAAAGCCAGCCCCATCCAATGGCAGAACACCATCAGCACTGCTTTCCCAAAAGGACATGACGCTTTCTCCTGGGCCACAGCCCTCCTGCCAAACAAGTGGACAGAAGGCTCAGAATAGCTTGGACTGATGCTTCCCAGCTGCAAACTCCTACAGACTTTCCGACTAAAAACAGTGAAGATAAAGGCAAGCAGGGAAACAAATCTAAGACCTACTCCTATTTTCTAGGAGGTGTATTTATGCTAATGAAATGACATCATCATCTTGGTTTTGTCTCTCCTGTTTTTCTTTCCAGTCTGCTGGTAGAACAGTTTTTGACTTGTGCAGCTCTTTATCTTGCCCTTTCCAGCTCAACAAAGACTTTGCTCATTTTATGTTGACTCTCTTCTTCTCGTGGTTATCCCAATCATCTCAGGCTTGTAACTACCTGAATTGCTTCTCTACCTTTAAAAGAGCTTCTGCTTTCAGGAAGAGCCCTCCTTGCCCTGCTTGGAAATGTTCCTTATGCACTCACCCCACCAGCCTTTGCACTGTTGATTCTCCACTGATCTCTGTCATTTACCCTTGGAGGATTCATGTGCAAAGCAGAAGCGAGTCCGTCAGATGTGTTAAATGAATGACAGTCAGAAAAAAGAAATCAAGGCACTCTCACATAAAAACTAGACACACTGTATGGCTATCCTATGTGTCCTATTTATCTGAAATAGTTCATACAGTGTGGTAAAACAGTGAAGAAAGCTGTAAGTGTTTGGGAAAAAGCCTACTGCAGTGCTCCAGATAGATAACACGTAACATGAAGCTGCTCAACACAGCTTCAATGTGAGGACTCTGTCATGCGTCATGTTACCACTTTTACCAAAGCCTTTCTTTCCACACTACCTACTGGATATACCCGGCTTCCAACCACTTTGAATCTGCATTATTTATTTAAAGCTTTCAGCTGAATCCATCATGTTGTCCCAAGTGGCAGTGCCCCTCTCACTCTCAAGAACAAATTGCATGTAACCAATCCACTTGATGATGGAGAAGAGGTTTAACTCAATGTTGTACATTTAATACTTTTCAAGTAAGCTAACGATTCTCTGTGTGTTGATTCACTCACAGCTGAAACAATAATGGTAACCAACATCAGATTCCAAAATGACGAGAGTCATCATTGTCCAAGCAATGGGACAGGAATTAGAAGTACATATAGAAATAAGTTGGTTCTAAACACAACTTTTCTGTGCGTAACAATCATTTCTCTGCCAGCGTTAAAGAATACTGAGATCTGCTAAACACTATGCTATCTTCTAAAATAAAATTTTGAAAAGAGGGGATCATGATTATCCCCAAATGACTGAAAAGATACCAACTACCCAGGGAAGGGGAGAGAGAAGGAAGCATCAAACAATTCATAACATAACAGGATCTAAACAGGCTCACATACCTCCCATGCAGACTTGCACGTATCCTCTTCTAGTGCATGAGGGATTAATTTAACTATTTTTGCATTTTAAAGTGTTGGTACACAACACAGAACTTTTATGCACAAGCAACAGCAAAAAAGAACAGATTTTGTTTTCAGATGAGAGAATGAGGCAGAGAATATTAGCATCTCCCTAATAATTAACCCATATAGATAGCATTTCATCTTTAAAATTCAGAACAGACATCAGCTCATTAATCTTAACAATTCCTCTGTCAGGAATGAAAGAAAGCATTTTACAACTAACAGAAGCAATGAGGTTACAAGCTTTAAGCCAAGCCCCTCCAAGAAACTGGTCAAATAAGAATAGGAGAGTCCTCAAAGCAGCTTGGTCTTGAGGGCAGAGTGTCTTAGTATGTCACGAGAAGTAGATTCCCCATAGGGTATCTCATAGGTGTGGAGAAACAGGGGCTCCATCAAAATCAAAAGATTAGTGTTTCAGAAGGGCTGGGGGAAAGAAGGGGAGAAAGGTGTTGAAGGTTCATCAACACAGGAACCCTCCTACCCGCCATGTTCTTTGCGGGTCACTGCCCTGCCAGATTCTGACACCAACCAGTAACAGAGTACTCATCGCAAATAAATGACTCAAATCTAGGAATCAACATAACCGTTTGACTAGCATCCTTATTACTCTAAGTTTCCAAACAAAAAAACTCTCATCCAATGTGAAGTCACTAGTGCTTTTTACTAGCTTCAAAGACATTTTGAAAACCCAGTTGTTTATCTGTGGGCAGACATCTTTCCTTCCCTATTGCATTAATTTTTAAAGGAGCTACAGAGTACAAAGATGATGTTCTTGATCGATTTCCTTAAGCGATTACCGTAGTATGTTGATTTCATGCAAAATTTTTCTCAATTTTAAATATTTAGAGATGTTGACAATATACTTTTAGTGTTCTCTTCCCACTTCTGACAGGTTGCCCTTTTTCATCACACATATCGCGTGATCTACGAGTTCATTCTCCTCTCGCATCTTGTATTTATGGAGCTTAGCAGTTTATCCTTACATGAAAGATCCAATTAAAACACTGAAGCCTCAAATGATTTTTAGTACTTCTTTTCTCTATTAATACTCATTAGGGAAAAAGATGTGCTAATAAAATAAAAGTTACCAAAGAGTACTTACTCTAGTCCACGCAGTTGTTTCCAAGCCTGCTTTCAGACAAACAGTGACTACTACATACTGCAAAGAAAAAAAAAAAAGAAGACAACTTCAGTATTAACACTCTCAAAAAGTTACTACCATTTAGGTACCACCCCAGGGCTTTGGCAGTGTGGGATGGGGGAAGGACAAAGCAGAAGATATTGTTGGTGCATGTTGGGGGCGGGGGAATCATACACACAGCATAAGTTGGATTTTATTTTACTTGTACACTTTCTTCTGGTTTACACCATTTTCTGATAGTATAAAAGAACTGTAAAGAAATTCTACTATTCAAAACCTGCTAGGATACACAAACTTACAGTGTAAACTATGTTTCCAACAAATAAATAGTCAATTCCCTGGCCATTTGTGAATACTGCATCTGAAAAAGAAAAATTATCACATTAGTTAATCAGTTTATCAACAGAATGGATGAAATAACAAGGAGATTTTCAGGAGAAAATAACTGGTCCCAACCTTGCCTTTTAGAATGCCTAAAAGCACTTTTAGACGCTGTGAGATAACGGTAATGCAGAAGTTGTGCTAAGCCAGGCCTCAGCCACGATGCTCAGATAGAGTGCACATCCATAGTCCTGGTTGCCAGAAGCCGTCCTAGCAAAAGCGGAAGTGTTTGCCAGACCCTAACGTGTAATTCATCTGTAAGAGCTGAGGTATGTCACTGTCACTTTTCCTCTCGCCTATCTGTTCTGTACTACGTATTGACACCTCTAACAGATCCCATTATTTGCTGTGCCTGTGAAGAAAAAGCCTCTAAAACACCAGCTGCTTTGTGGTGAAATAGAACTGAATTAAGAAAAGCCACAAAAGATTCATCCAGAAAGGACACATGTAACATCTAAAATATTTTACTGGAGGTTAATTCGGTAACTGAGCAGCATTCAATCTCCACGCACCCTTTCTCTAGTCAAGTGTGCACCAGGGCAAGTACATGTTAATCTATCATTTGAAAGTGCCAACCTTGGCAATACTTCAAATGTCTGTTTAGTCTTTCTTAGCCCTTGTTGAACAAAACCGGAACACCATGAAAGCGCATTCGACAGCCATGCTAATGCCAAATGAACTCGTACTCACAGGAGCTTTGAAGCATTACTCAAGCATGATAACTATTGCTGTTTTCACAGGTTTTAAGACAACTGCTAGAGAAATACACAAACAGCAGGGATGAAAAAGGCTTAAGATAAAACCTTGGACCTGTTCCTAAACACATACTGCCTAGCACAGTGCTTCTACTATGAGGGCACCACTTTGCTAGAGTTATTTGCAAATAACTAGATCTGACATTCTTCAACTAGGGTCATCTACTTAGTTAACTACGCTCCTGTAACATAAGTCTCAAGGATCAGTAAATTTTTGAAGTACATTTTTAAGTCTATAGAGAAGAGTCCCTGATGCCTTGACCTCTGTGGTGAATACGCTGCTCAGCTTACAAATAAAAAGACGATGTATTTAGTCTGTGCAGTTACCCCAAGCTACTTTTATCGTTTTCTTCTACAACTGCTGCATGTGGTTGTCTCCGAAGAACTGACAGGTTGCAAATATTTTCCAGAAGTTGCTGGTTCTATATCCCTGCTTTCTTTTCTCTTTTGAACGCCAACTGCTAAGAAACAGCAGCGGATAGACTAGTCACTGACATTGCAACAGGAGCTAAAGCCTGGGACAGCTTGGTTAGGAACTGGTTTGGTTTCTAGCCGCTGGCATCTCTACAGCCCAGCTCCTCCTCTGGTACTGTGTGGCTTTGGAGATTTACCACATCATTCACAAATACACATCAAGTTTTAACAGTCACTTTGCTCTTTCCTCTAGAGTCAATCAAAAAGGTGAAGAGCACTAGAGAATTGAGCCTTCCATGTCCAATGAACCCTGCTGATGCCAGAAGTCTCAGTTTATTAAGAAAAAGGCATGCCTAAATACACATCGGTTTTGACAGATCTAGAATAAACTGTCCTAATGACTCTGCCAGTATATTGCTCTAGTGCAACATCACAGCGCACATTTAAGTAATTAATAATTTTTGGTGTAAAGACTCAACTTTTTTAAAGTTACATTTTAATGCAGTAAGTTAATGCCTTTTTTTTCCCAGTGATTTCTATGACCTTCCACTTTAGGAGGGTAAGCGGTACTGAAAGGAATGATATTTCTGTTAATGAGAACAGCAGGACACTCAGTGAACATTCATTTCTAAAGCTACACAAATGCCCATTCATGGACTACACGCACTTCACATTCTAAGGAACTTGAGAGGTTAAAAAACATCCCAGTGTGAATTGCACATTTTTGTCTCCGGCACTGAAATCCCTTTTTCACTTGGAAATACAAAGAAACTTGAAAATTCAATATTCATTCCTCTTTGGAGAGAAAACTAAGCAACCTATTTAAAGGAACTCAGAAAGTTACCATGTGAGCGGGTGAGTATTCCAGTCTTATTTCAGTTGTTGAAATTAAAAGTACATTATTTATTTAGGAATTAGTTAGAAAAAACATTTATGGAAGAGTAAAAGAAAAACTGTATTTTTCTTTAACCGTAACCACTACAGACATCAGCCTAAAATTTCTGAAGTTGGGTTTAAAGAAGAGCTATTAAAGATGAACATTTCTTATAAAAATAGTGAAACAGAACAACAAAACCCCCCAAATCAAACCAAAATCCAATCAACCATAAAAACCCCTTTCCCCCCAAAACTGAACCAAGCTCCCAGCCCACATACGGAGGAAAGGGAAGTCACTTTCTTGTATGGTCCATCAGGCAGCATGTGAAGTTGCCACTAAGGATACGATACTGACATTTTACTCAGCCAGATAAACATGAACCTGCCTCCCACAAGTATCTCTTCCATCACGTCTCTGATGTGAGCATTCACCTTTCCTCCCTTTCCATTTTCTTTCAACTCCTCCCCAATTAACCCATCCAGGAGCTGAGAAGGTTTTCTTGAAGTTAGTGTCCTCCAGGAAAGAGTTTCAGTTTTGAAAAATTTATGGTTTTACATAAATACTATTCCTCCCTGCTGCTCCCCCCAAATTCCTCACCTGATCTCGTCCTATTTCTTAGGTCAGTAAAAGAACATATTTCCCAAGGCTATTCCTGCCCACATGACCGTATCGTAACGTTAGGTAGGAACCACATGGGATTTACTGTCCCCTGAAAGACCATGTAGGTGCATTACCTTTCACGGAAAGCAAGGCTTAATAAGCCTAATTTGTACAACAAAAAGTCTAATTTCCCCAATATCTCTGACTCGATCTGGCCTACTTCCATTCCAGTCAATTCATTTTTTCCAGACTTTAACAGTAGTGAAATCTGTTTTATCCCACATTTTCCAGTCCTGTGTTACGGAATGGGAAAGGTCCAACAAGATATAAAGCAAATAGCTGTAGTACAGCTGCTGCAAGAACATTATGCAGGAAAAAGTTGAGATCTCAACCCACTACCAAAAGAAATAAGGCATTGTATAGAACATTATTCAGTATTCAAGTAAGACTTTTTGGCAAAGCAGCAGTTTAATTTTTCACATGTTAAAGTCACTATATGAACAATAATTATGTTTAATTAGAGTAAGTTCTGAAAGCCACCAGATAACTAGCCAAGTCGAGCAGCTATAGCCTATTGAACTGTCTGTCAGCATTATTTTCTTGGGATTTGTCACGACCTCCCATTCTGCAAACACACTGGGCTCTGTACGACTGAACATCAGTTCCTGACGTAAGAAATAACGAAGGCCTTACCGTGCTCCAGCACTTTCAGTGGAAACCAGAAGAGAATGATGGAATGGATCAGGGCATTGATGCAGTGACCCCAGAAAACCTGAGGGAAAACAAACCAAGTCATCAGTAAAGTCCAAAACTCTTGACCTCTCTCTAACTCCTAACAAACACTTCATTGTGTAGTTCAGAGTCAGACAATGTTTGTCCTGAACTGAAATACCTAAACTTCTGCAGGATCTATTTCCTCCTACAATTTCTGCTCTTTCATAAGAAAACACTGGTCCAGTTGGATGGTTTTATTCTAACAACTTAAAATATAATAGGCAAGCATGCTTGCAATTTAAGATCTTTATCAAAATACAGCAAACAGATGGAGTCACCCTTCTTTAATTACCTCAAAGAATGATTTTAAAAGATTGACTCAGTACTATGAAATGTTCTATACTTTTAGCAAGCAAATACTTTATGCCCCACAATTTTTAACTTACAGATAATGGTGTTTTGCACAAACTAGAGCTTTAAGTACTCTACAATTTCCTCTCTAAACAAAGCAATTGTACAGCTTCCTTGGTTCAAAAGTATATTTAGATGTGCCCGTTATGGAATAAAGACAGAATTCCAAATTGTGGCATTTTCCAGCATTTAAACGTCAAAATTAAGTAAAATGTGTTATTCAAAACTCAAAGTCCAAATAAACCAATTCAAATTTTATTTTCCAAAAGAACTGCAGGAATAGAGCTATACTAGTTGCGAAAAATCCCCCTAGTAGAGAGCATGACAACAACCTGTATATTAAATAAAATCCAGGTGATGTTACCCAATTCCTATAAAAGTCGTAATCTTACCATTTATCCGTAGTTGTGAATTGGAAAAAAAATATTAAAAAAAATCACTCAGGTACCAATCTTTGAATCAAAGATTACCGATATTTCAGGACCAGTTTCAGTGGAAGCCATACCAGAAAATCCTTATTTAAAAACTAGTACTTTTTTTTTTTTAAATAAAAAATATAATCCCTTGAAAAAAAATTGGGAGGCAGAACAATCTTCATCTCAATGGCTAGCATAAAGCAGAAGTAGCAGTGTGGAATAAGTTATTTTCTGATGAGAAAGACCTGGACAATAAGAATGCTCGTGGTTATTCTTAAAGAAACAGACTTTCCCTTACCCTTGTGTTGAACCCATCTGCATTTTGAGTAATTTTGTATAGTTGTGGAAATCTAAGCATGCTATCTTGAGTACACGATCGTTCAAAAATTCCCAGAGTAAAGGGTGGCAGTGCTGTGAAAATCTGCAAGGAAAGCAAATACTAATTAAAAGCAGCTATTAGTTTTAAGTGGATCTCAGATAATATTTTGATATCTAGATAATAGCAAAATTCCCACAGACTTTAACGAACACTTATTACCAACTAGTGTGTTATTTGACATCATTTTCAGACATCCACACAAGTTCAAACATGAATTTCAGCAATTCATAATTCTCAAACACTGACTTACAAACAAAAGCAGCATGAAAGAAAATTCTTACTATTAACCAATTAACTTAAACACAAGAAGTTAAGCATCAGTAGTTTCTGGTGTACCAGCTAATCTAGTGAGAGTAAAACACAACAGACTGCAAAGGAAAGACAACATGTACTTTTTCAAGAAAGCCTTGTAGGAATGGGTTCAAATATAGCTGCAATTGTAGCCATAATTAAATATGTAATATGCTTAACCAAAGCTAAGTTTACAGACAAAGCAAACGTGGAAATCACATTAAAAAAAAAATTCTACTGAAAAACAAAGGCCATTCTGTATTATGGTACTTTGGGGATTCTCCAGGCAGGCAAGAACTGATAGGAACAAATTAACTGCAGTACATGTCTGTGCTACGGGCAGACGCTTAGATGACCAAGCCTCGGAAGCTTTCCAGGAGAGACAGCAGGACGCTTTGCCAGAAGCAGAGTAAATTAGCCTCTGCTGAGTCCCACGTTGCTACTCTGAAAGTGTTTCCAGGATCTGAGGCAGCTCATTTAAAGCCAGCTTGGGTATCCATGTTTCTTGCAGTCTGCAGTGCAGGAACTGAGTGAAAATAATACCAGTGTGCATGTCTGACCACTAAACTTCATTCACTTCCTTTTACATTAACAGTTTATATCAGAAAAGTAATTTCTAATCCTATACATACATATATTTTTAACAGTTTGAGAAGTGTTCCTGAAGTTAAGAAGCAGCTTGAAGTTATGAACTGTTTCCAGCGTGTACGCACGTTTGCAAAAGTTGGGCTGTGGTTCCCACCCGCAGCGAGCCGGCAGCCAGGGAGCAGACGGAGAGCAGCACAGCGGACTAGAGACTAGTGAGAATCAATAACAACATCCCTAGATCCAACCGGGAACGTGCCAGTTTTGCTCATAAAGTGATAAGCCAGATGGTTACAATGGCAGCAGGCTGGGGGTGGGAAACTGAAACTAAGACCACTGGTCCAATATATCCCCCCAAAAGGGCATGTTCTCACAGAGCTTTAAGGTATTTCCTCCCATTTCCCATCTTTACTGGGGCATTTACATCCTCACATGAAGTAAATCTTCTAGTTTTTTTATTTATGAAGGTAAGCCTCCAGTGTGAACCAGTGCAAAGGCAGGAGTTAAAATGCTACCATGATTTCCTATGCTTAACATTTTAATGAGACTACTAATGAAATAAAGGGTTAAACTGCACAGAAGAGAATGTCAGAGCTAAAACCACTTTAAAATCTAACCCCTACAAATTGTGGAAGTCCCAAATATCCTAACAGCACTTGATTTTTCATGAGTCCACGCGTCTAGTTCAAATTTTAGAAAGTATCAACCTTACAAAGCAAGGGTTAATTTCTGCTTCACTGGTTCTAGAAGATGAGTTTCATCCATGAGCTTTACGTAGGGTAGGGAGATCCATCAAATCAGGTTTAAAGATAATAGATGCAAATATCTAAACATGAATGACAGAGACTGAGTAAGAGTCAGGAAATTAGGGTGAAGAGAATTGAGTGGAAAATCCGTGAATAAATATCTTCAATGAAGAATATGAAATCTTACAGAATATGAGGGTTTGTGCCATCATTTTTAAGATTAATGTGACAGAAGTTAAGTGTTGCCATTAATATTACTCAGTGATAGAGATAATTTGCTGGGTTTTGCTGTATTACCATATATTTGGAATGAGTCTTCTTAAAGAAAAAAATTAAATTTCCTCCCTCCAAAGAGAAATGCAAAGGATTTTTCGACACTGACAAAGTATCCTAATAGCTTATAAATCTGGTCACCAGGCCGCTCATAAACATGACAAAGGTAACACTGCTGAAGATACCAGCACAGGTCTATGGTATGGTACGGAACTTGGTCCCAGAGATCCTCCAGATTTTAATCAATGTTATTGATTAAATAAGATTATTGATTAAAGTGATAAAGTAATGCGGCACAGTGCGGCATTTTGCAGAGCACAGTGAAAATCAGAAATCACTCCTGGACTGACACATCCTGCTCTTGGTTCAAGTGAAAAGTGCTGGTGACACAGCAGTGCTGCTTCCCGTTCTGTACCTAATGTAGCACAGGTCATGTCAAAGCACCTGCATGACACTTCTCTGAGCATCTTACTGTTGTGGGGTCTGAGAAAAAAAAATCAAAACTCAAAGATTAAGACTCCGTATCTATTTTGAACATGAACAGTCAGCAAAATATTTAATACAAAAGACTGAAGATGCTTTCGAAGATGAAATTAAATTCCATCTAAAAGCTGCAGAGTGTTGTGGAAGTTATATTAGGCTAAAAACGTGTATTTTCAAGGTGTGTTTTCCCAAATTTATTTTTGTGATTAAAAATTCATTTTGGATTGTGTTTTTATCTACCTCAGAATGGATTCAAAATGGCTTTTACAAATGAACTCACCTTTCCTGACACACATCCAAGACAGTAACCAGTGAGAAAAGGGACACAACAAAATAATATACAAGTCTCAAACACTATCAAGTCAAAACACGTAGCACTTACCACATTATACAGACCAATGCACCATCGCTCAAATAAGATCTGCCCAGAAAATCCATTAACGAAAGCAAACCAAAGCTGAAACAAAGACAAGTTACAAGACGCTTTAGATTACTACTGCAGTACATGTTTCCATTTACAGTAGAGGAGAAGGATGTGGAATACAGATCACCATCTGGAGACAGCTGCTTGTCATGCATTAAAAATAATTATCAGCAGTGCAAGGTAGTTATTCTCTTCTAAAGTCTTACTTTTCATATTCTGCCAGAGTACTGCTTATTTAAAATAAAAAACTGATGTGAGGATCAATTTTCTGTATTTGCATCATTACTCTAAAAGAATAAATGGCTTCAAACTATTCCAAAATCCTTATTGCTGGCAAATTAACATGCTTGAAGCCAGAAGCCAACCTCATTTCCATAATGGGTGGCAAAGATAAGAATTTTCAAGGTAAGTGTGTTTTGATGGATGCTCTGCTTGACTTCTGTATCCTATTTTTACAGTTCTAGAATTACAGTGACACCAACTTATCACAATCATATTACAATTTGTCTATCTGATGTAAACATTATCATTTAATAAACTATCAATTTAATAATTAAACACTGGAAGAGATTGTCCAAAGGGGCCATGGAGTCTCCATCCTCTTAGAAGTTTACAAAACCCAATTGGGCAAGCCCTGAGGAACCTGGTTTGAATTTAGGGTTCACCCCTAAGAGTGAGGTTGGACTAGATGACCTCCACGTTGCCTTCCAACCAAGGGGATCTGTAATGCTGCGGTCCCAGGAAACCACTGTACGCTGCAGTGCATAGGTAAACTCTTTTCAGCGTTTCCTTGGATCTAGCTTCCTTGAGCATACTTCTTATCTTGTTTAAGAAGCTTTTTGAAGCAAGAACTGCTTTATTGGGTTGGAAGAAAGTTTCGTAGTCATTGGGCATTGAAAGAAGCTTAGGAAAGAATATAAGAAAGAAGGGAAAGAATTATTTTTTCCCAAGTAAATTGGAAACTGGAAGAATAATCAGCAGTTTAAGGGCATCCTGAAACAGTTTGCATGTGAATCACTGCACTTAATAGATAACAAAGGATTTCTGTGAATTTGTGACTGTCGTCCCTTTTAAAAACCACACTGCACCATGGCGCTTCGTTCAACATTAATTCAACATTATGTGTGGGAACACCTCCCTCCCCACCCTTTTTCAACATGTTTTGTCTTGCATTTACTTTACAAGTTCAAGTGATGCCCATGCCTGTTCCCTTCTCACCGCCTGAGAACACATGGCACTCACTGCCAGGCATCTTTTCTGTGACTATTCTGTCACTCACACAGAGCAGCACTCTCTCACCAGCACCATTCATTCTCCAGCTTGCTTGCGCAAAACACCTCAGATATCAGATGACAAAGAGTTAACTAAATGTTCTCTTCTCTGCTCCCACCCAAAATAGATACAGAATAATTAGGAAAGACGACAAGAGAAGATAACAAGACTGCATCAAGACCTACAGCTGTTTTCACAGATGTAATAGCTAAACGGACCAGGACTCTTCAGCATGGGACAGAAGCAACTTGAGGGAAGATGAAAATATTTACAAGATTGTCCAGAAAAACAAATAGCTGTTCAAATAGGTACTGCTGCAAGGCATCAGATTAGCAGGCTACAGAAAAAGAAAAAAAATGACATGTTTTCACACAATACATGGTTAATCTATGGAACTGCCCTGCCAGATGAAGCTGTGGATGCAAAAAGCAATTAGAAAAAAAAAAAATCATGGAAGGAAAGCTGGAGACCAGATGAGTCTGCCAGAGAACTACCACTGTTCAGAGGATCAGGGACCAGGTTAGTTGAACTCTTATTCTGACCCTCTACAGCTATTCTTACACTATTATATCACCATTCTAATGCATTCTCACTGTTCAAGTGAGAAGCAATGACACTGATCTCAACTTATGTGCTTACAGATATGCCTTGCACAGTAGGCCAGCTATTTAAAATTATTTGCCACAGTTTTTTAAACCTCAGCTGCTCTTTATAGTAGAGAGTTTCTATTGATTTCACCCTACTTTCTGAAGTTCCCACTTCTCTATACCTGCTACCCTTCTTGTGGGGTAGAAGTACCCTTGTAAGCTTTCTTTAGGGCCAGCAGTTTCATTCCATTTAGTTGAAATGCATCAACCTAGTATAAACTGCAAAATATTTCTCCAGTTACCTAAAAAATAAAATCCTGTCTTTCACATTGTCAATCATGGATTAAGTTAAATTAAATAAGCATTTAAGTGTTCATCTCTCCAGCTCTGTCCTGAAAAAAGACAGAAGGAACACACATTCTACATCCCAACTTTTTTCATTGCTCCTACTGTACCGATACCTTGAATGATCACTGCTCTCTAAATCTCATTCCAAGGACTCAACTAATGGCCCAAAGTAGCATAGTGACCAGTCTCACGCTCACACTTGAAGTGTTTCAACCAGTTGTATACCTCAGCTCTTCAAGTGAAAGATATGAAAAATCTTGGGTACAAAGCCTGAAGTCCCAAAAAGAAACCACAATTAATTTGGGGCTCTCAGGTAAGGAACTTGAGGGTGTCTTCTCCTAGGAGGAAACAGAGCTTTCAACAAGCACACTCCCAGACATTTAGCAATGATGATCTAGGCATTTACCATCTCTAGGCTTCTTGCAATTAATTGCAACTATGAATGAGGGCAGCAATCCTAGAAAACATAAATGGTTCACAAATCAGAAGCCTGTCTGTCTAGCTGGCAACCTCAGCCTGTGCTCTGCTCCATTTTCTAGATCCCACTAGGCAAAGCAAACTTCAAAGTTTTGGTAGTAAATGTTGAGGCCTTTTATGACACTGGCTCATGTTACTTGCTTTCTGAAACCATAGCCTCCCACAACTAGTCCTCCAGCAACAGACATTTCTGATTTTCTACCAAGAGGGTAAAACAAAGCAGCCAGATTTTCTGTAGCTGGCCCACATCTAGAAGGAAGCGCCCCAAACCAGGCAAAGCTAACATCTTAGACTCACGTTTCCCAGCAAAAATATTAGTAGTAACGAACTGAAGAAACAATCATATAAAACTTGGAAAAAGCAAAGTTGTTAAGATGCATTACAAAGCAGCAGATAGACTGTCAAAGTACAAGAGAAAAATACCTTCTCAACAACCCAATTTCTACTCAAAGTTCCTGTCTTACCTCAATTGAGTGATGCAGAATTCATTAAAGACCTTGCTAAAACCACCTTGAGATTAGTCAATTGTGTCTGACTCTGGTAAACAGTTATCTAGGTGTTCACTATCTTTAGTCTTCTGCAGCATCTTTCAGTACTGAAAAAAAAAAATTGCTACAGGACAGTTTTCTCCTTATTTCAAGGCTGCTATGATTTAGGTGGGCAAGAACTAACCTTCAGGAAGTTCAATGTTCCGCTATCTCAAAAGCCAAATTTGAACTGTCTCTCTTTTGGCAGGACCCATACAGGTGAAAATTAGGAGTGAGAACATTCCCAGCGCTTATGCAAGTCTGCGTGCACCACGCACTCCAAACAGAGGGCAAAAGCTGTTATGGTTCTGACAGACTGACAAATAACAGCTATGCTTATCTTTTCCAGAGATTCACATTATCAAATGTCAATCCACAGAAAGAATATTGCATACTTCCTTGATATCTTAATGTCCAGAGTAAATTAGATATTCTGCATAAAATATACATTTATTTCGAATTTAACACAAGCCATAAATTGCCATGTGTGGTTTAAGAACCACCTGTTTGTAGTCAGAGAACAGTATTCTTTATGGTCAAAAGAAAAAAAAAACTCAACACAAACAAACAACCTGTACCTCAACATTCCTGTTAACAAAATGTACTAAATATATTTGAAGTTGCAACAATCCATGCTTAACTCAGACTCAGTAAGCTGGCAGGAAAACTTGCCAAGTCTGCCTGGCTTGCCAAGCTCCAGGGGTTTGCAGGGCTCAACTCCAGTACTGCTATGAACAAATGGACTCAAAGTTATTCAACTTCTTTTCTAGCTGGGGAAAAAAAAAAAAAAGAAAAGAAACCTTTTCACTTTAACTATTACCTGGCTGCGAAAAAGCTGGAAAAGCTTATTTGTAACTCAGCTACACAATATATATTTTTCTCCCAAGGAACAAGAGGTCCAATTTAAATGTAAAGAAATTCAGACCCAAGGCTGAAATCTGGGTTGATACATTGCTGCGCTTTATTACAGCAGATACTGCAAAGATCTGAAACCAGTTCGTATTGTGCACAAGGAAAGTGGAACATGTTGCAAACTGAAAACCAGCCCATGTTTCCTGCCTTGAAGTGTGGCCGCATTCTTTAAATAAGAAACCCTGCTGCTGAAGCACTCCATGCCAGCTGTGATGTGGGCACTTGGCCACGAGAGAAGCAGGGGGGAAACAAAAAACCATCAGACTGCTGCCTCCTTCCAGAGGTCAACGAAAGCCAACAGATGGTAATACTTGGTTAATATTGACTTGAGCTGCAGGCAAACTGAGCATCTCGAGGTAAAACAGCCCTGCACTGCCATGTTGAGCCATGCAGCCCATCCACCTGCTCTAGAGTATATTTTGAGAAAAGATCAAGTATTATTTTCAAAAAAATATTCCCACTTGAGCAAATTGGAAGGCGATTTTAATTGCATTATTGCTTCATGCATAATTACCTCAATATTAATGCCTGAAATAGTAGGAACTAATTTATTTAAGTGCTCTAAGGCACTAGGATAGCAAATCATCTATTCTAAACATGTATATTTATGATGTCTTGATAATAGACAGCTTAACGAGTAGTAGAAATGTTTTCCCAACTCTGCTAAAGGGCACAGAAAGCTAATGTAGTCAGGGTATCAACAATTGCCACAGGCACCAATTATAGCCAGACTGGATGCCTTTACTATTCAGAAATGAGTTAAATTCTCAAAATATCCTCTCTCAGCACACACACATTTTGCATGTTCTTACCAAATAGGTTCATTTACAGTTTGCCTAATCAAGCAGGTTTGTGTGTCTCCTGTGCAGTTCATTAATAATGTATCCTGATTAAAAATCTCTCATTACAG